AATTCTTCAGGTTTAAAACTATTTAGAATGTTGTATTTATATCTAGTTGTACCTAGCAGTTTTCCTTCCCTTAAACGACAAACGTGACCACGTTTTCATCGTTTCCCTACATTTTACTTTACCTTTCGCAAACCTTCTCGACAAAAACAAATATTTCTATGTTTATCTACTCCTTCGAGATTTTTGCGATTCTTTTTCATTTATTATAAGAATTTTTAATGGTCAACTGACGTTTCACGTTTGCCGTAAACGAGAATCTTAAACTCTCTATATCTCGTCAATAACCCGTAGAAAAAACACTTTTTGGCAAGTTATTTACGATCAATTTCTCCCCCCCCCCCCCCCCCCATCCATATCTTTAGTTTCTAGACTCACACATAAGAAACAGTTATTATTTTCGATTATCAAATTTGAAGCGGAGTCTTAAATTACGTACATTGATACCCATTCTCGTAACCAAATCTTCAAAGATTTCTATTAAACTAAAAATTTAAAAAGAAGGGTCTGGTTTTCCTTTTTTTTCTCTCATTCTTTTGAAATTGATTTCTTGATATAATTCTTTATTCATTTATTTTATTAATGTAGCTTTTTTAAAACTAGATTACCGAATCAAGGAAGCCAGCAAGCAAAGAATCAAACATGGAACAACAGATTCCCGATATTCAATCGACGTGCTTCAGGTTACTACAAAATATTACTTTAAAAAATGTCCATTTTTAGCCTAAAGATATTTATTTTGGATTAAGGTTTAGGTATTTCACATGTATATGTTTTAACGTTATATAATAAATGAGTTTTAAAATATTTTGGTGTTTGTTTATTTCATGGTACACCCCTTTTCAAATTTTCGTTTTTTTCCCGCCAAAAAACTTCGAAAATTTTCAGGCTTGTCACGTGATCTGCTCCACAGATCAAAGCTTTTTCATGCCCAAAAACTTAGGATTTTTTTAGCACGTTTCATTTCCGACTTTAGCTGTGCTTTGCTCACTGCACCACACCCACCTTGCACCCCTTTGATGCTTTAGCACCTTTACCCTTTGGCTACCTTACCACCTCTACCCCACCCATCTAATTCCCCCAAGCACCCTTTTGCCTCTTTAGCACCTTTACCCTTCAGGTAACTTAGCACCTCTACCCCACCCATCTAATCCCCTTTCTTTATTCTGCTAATTACTCCTTTGTTTCGTCCAGACAATAAACAAGACATTAATTATGCATAAGAATTTTTAATTGGTAATTAATTCAAGCCATTACAAAGCCCTATAATTTAAGGTACATCAATACCATTAACTTCAACAAACAAACTGATAGTATACAGCACAAGTGCACCGGCTAATGGACAAGAGGCAAGTTGAAGGTAAGGGTTCAAATCCAGGTAAGGTCTAGGTTCTCAGATGAAAAATTGGACAAGCAAAAAGAAAGCCACCCACAAGCAAGGAACAAGGTAAGTCTGGTATTCACAGAGGCAAGGTAAGAAGGATTGTCTCAAAAAAAAAAAAAAATTGGCTTTAAAGAAAAAGAAATTCAAATTGGCTTAAAAAATTAAAAAAAAATCAAATTGGCAATAAAAAAAGAAAAAAAAGTAAAAAATTGTGAAAAAAAGTAAAAAATCCCTATTAATTTTGAAAAAATATATACTAAGTCTTTTTGTGATTTTTTTTTGCCCCTAGGGTAATTAGTCAAAGGTCCCTGAGATCAAAAGTTCAAACCTACCCTCCCCTTAAGAAAAAATGGCCCTCAACAAAGTGTTAAGGGCCACCCTTAAGGGTTTGGCATAGGATGAACTGATGACCTCAGAGACAATACATTTGATTAGGATTCTGAAGACATAGGTGTTGCTTGATTAAAAGACTGATACTGGATGCTAAAAAAGGCATAAAACTGGTGTTGTACTTTGTTAAAAAGAATTCAAAACCCAATTGTAGTATCCAAAACAAAATATATTCCCAATACGAAGTGATATTTTTAGTGAGATCATTGGAGAAATTTACATTTTTTAATGAAAAATTTAACGATGGTGAACACCAGTTTTATGCCTAGTATATAGCAATAATTTGGCCCAGCTAAGACATGGAACTTTTTTTCAATTTGAAAAAAGCTGCCTTAAACTGATTGCATGGAGCTTTATGAAATTCCTCAAGTCTCAATTTTCGATGACTGATTTTAGATACCTCACCCCAACACTTAATATTTGATCCATGAAAAGTTCCATGTCCACACTGAGCCTTACCAGTACTTGAAACAGAATAGCCTTCGTAGGATCGCAGCCAACCATGGTGTATGGCAAGGTATAGCATGGTGTGTTATATTATGCTTTTAGGATGAAATCAGAGTGAGCTTATCCTGGCACCCCAGGACTGTACCATGGTTTACTCAATCCTACAGTCTATTCTGCATTACAGCAAGAGTTACAAATGGTATTTTTTGCTGACCAATTCTCCTTACTATGATAAAACTTAAGCTGGTTTGAAAAGTTCCTTTTCAATAAATTGTTTGCAACCGAGCATGCACAATTTGAATTTCTTTCAATAAATTGTTTCCAACGGGGTATTTGCAATGATTTGTTTAAGTCCAAAGATAATGTCAAGAAAATGCTATTGAACCACCGTAATGAGATTTAATTTCAAAGACAGCTAAGCAATTTTTTCAATTATTTCAGTTCATCATTCCAGTGCCTGAAACATGGCAACATATAATTTGATTTGTAAAATAATATTTTCGATTTGAAATCATTTAAAGAAATAAATCTCTTTTCAGAGTCAGACAGGAACCGACTTAGTTTTAGTATACCATTTGTTATCTCTTGTTGTACTTTTAACTCAAGCAACACCTTTGTCAGACTATGAGATGAACACACCAAGCCCTGTGATATACTGATGTCAAATAACTTTTTGTTTGATTTTATTTTTTTCCCGATCAGGTTCTTTGGTACTGAGTAATTTTTCCATGGAGTAAAATTAAATCACTTATAGTTTTGAGACTTTCCACGTTGATGATTAAGTAAATGGAACCAAAAATAAATACTGAATCTTGAAGGAAACATCAGATTGACGACAAGTTTTTGCTGATGAAAAAAGATGAAATAGGAACTGCAAGATAATTGGCGATCCCTTTAAAAAAGGGCACTAAGATTTTTTTATCTTAGGTCCTAGCAAAACAGCATAAAAGGTGGTCAAAAATAGAATTTTGTACAGTACTTCTATCTGGCCATTGGTGTGTCCACTCATAGTCCTAAGTTAATATATTTTCACCACTTTAAGAATAAATGGAACCATTTCTAGAGAAACAATTCCACTGAAGAGTACAAACACTTCAAATATATGCAGCATCTGTTGCACTCACTTTAGGTAACTAAAAAAGCCAAGATTGTCAAAAATGTTTCAATGATCCTATAATTTTGAATTAAGATTTGATAATCCTAACAATTTTCAATTGGATGCAATGCTTTTTGGTCACTGACAACCTTGTGTGAGAAAAGTAATTTAGAAATTGCACCTTCCAACCAACATCCTCTGGTTAACTTAAAATAAATGCAATACCAAAATACATGGTCTACCATATTTTTGAATAGCAATGTAAGAGATTCAGAAAAACAACTGGATGATAAAAGAGGACATTGGTAGAAAAATACAAGACTTAACGCTGGTAAATTATGCACTTGACTTACCGTGTTGAAGGGAGTGAACCAGGAGTGCAGAATGTAGCAGACAAATCTTTATTAAAGCATCATAATATATGGTAATAAAAGAAAGTAGAACCACACTATCTCATCAAATATGCTCAAAGGAGAGTAAAATAAAAAACACACACACAAAAAAAAATCAAAAAACCTAAAATGCAGCAGATTGATCATGATTTTGGTTACCACTGTCTTAGTTGCTAAATGCTGATTGAGAAAACAGTCACAAAATGAAAATTTGCCTATACACTGCAGACAATAAGAGTATGAGAATGTACCGGACACTTTATTCAATTGTCCAATGAAAAGGACAAGATAGTGGGGTTCTACTGTATCATCAAATGCATCAATGAAAATAACAATCATCATGATATATATAGTATCCTCTCACCAACTATGTAAGCAGAACAACTTACTAAAAAAATCAATGAAACAAATGAAAAGCTAAGAAGAGATTACCTTATTTTTTCCTACATTTTTTAGACTTTTAGAATCTCAGAATTTTTTAGTACAGTGAGAGCATACTGTACATACTATAAACATGTCAAACAAAGAAATCATTTTTTTTAGGAAAAAGCTTTTTTCCAAATTTCAGATTCTGGGAATTTGTCAAATCTGATTTGAATGCCAAAGGAAGGATGGAAAAAATATTAAAGCAAAGGACTTAGAGTAATGAAAATCCTCTAACTCAAATTCAAATTACTTAACAATTTATCTTAATTAACACTTGCCTCAGGCAGGAAATAAGAAGTAGTCCAAATAGAAAACACAAAATTTTGAAAGAAACTTTTTCATGTACATCAATAATCAATCAAATGTAAAATGAATCATTCAATGTGAGACAAATAATCAAGATCAAAAAATATTAGTCAAATGCAATAAAAGACAATCAAAATCATACATCAATCAAATATATATCATAATATGTAGAGTTGATCCMAGCCAGCCAGTCATCAGATCCAAAGGAGACATTGTATGTGCATAAGTTACCAGCATTTAGTAAATCGTAAGAAAATTCAAAAGATGTGGTCACTTTTCATGTAATGAAAAGGTCGCACAACCATTGATATTTTGAGTTCTAATTCTTAAAGTGGTGAAAAGAAATCTACATACAACAAAGCATTATATGTAGAGAAATTTAATAATTGTTAGACATTATTCACCAAAGACAAAGTGAATATCAGCCAATATTTGAGGCAAATATCAACAAGAATCCACTTTATCTGTGGTGAATAAATATTTAGTAGAATTACACAGGTGAATATCAGAAGAAAAAAGATATAAATGAAACACAGCCAAAAAGGAAATTGTTCAAAGGCAATTATTTTCACTTGTGTAATTTTACTAAATAACATCTACAACTAACACTTATAGATTCAGCTAGCCTTCTTATCCTTGATGATCCAACTACAAAAAACAATAAAGTGTCAGTATGATGGTTCTACAGGGTGAGCAAAGCCTAAGGGATCCTTCATTTGTTACCTGGAAGCAGGGGGTAGTCGGATTTTGGGGAGGGAGTGAGGAGTTACTAAAAATTGGGCTATTCACAAGGCAGCGATGTTCACTGTAGAATAGATTTATCCATGTGTAGCTCCCATGCAAGTGCTTGGAGGTTAAACCAAAGTTTTTGTTTTTATGACAATAAACATGGCTGCAGTGTGAGTGCAGTCCATGAGGGGAATACACAAAACAATTCAAGTTGCACAACACTTTTACAATAAAAGCAATTCACCTTTTCAGCACTAACCAGCACAGTGTATAAATTATTTTAGATTGTGTTACAGTCACCAAAAAGTTTGGATATTGTTCTCAAATTTCCATATGAATGTACTGACTCTAAATGAACTATTTACTTGGTTAATGTTTAGTAAGTTCTCTAAATACAAGTAAATAATCATTTTTCTAGCTTGATTGAAGCTTTTCTTATTGCTTTTAAGAAAGCTAACCAAAGAAATCTACCTAGATTTTCCCTTTAATTGGTGAATTGGTATGGAAATCTGAGAACGATGTCCGAACTTTTTGGTGACCGTAACGCAATCCAAGCTAGCGCCGGAAAGGTGAATTGAACATTTTCTCAAGGTGGCGTGCACATCAAAATTTAAGGAAGTTGATGGGCCATGATACTGGAACACGAGTATTTTCATGCATTCCTATAAATTTTTTTGCACTAAGAATTTATAAAATAAACTATTCTCCTCTTTAAATGTAAAACTGACATCTCAATTTTACTGAATTTGCATTTTTCAGTTTTGTGGCATGTCAAGTTGGATGCGCAAGCAACCTTGAGAAAACGGACTATTGAGAATAAGATTTCTTGTGTGGCTTACAAGGGAATTGGACTGCCCACCTCCCTGATAAAACAAAGAACAATCAAAGGGGCCCCCTACCAAGGAGAATTTGTCAATCACTTCCTTCTGGAAAAAATGTTTTGTTGACTGTAGTTTTTATCAAAAATAAAAGCAAATCCTTAAGACTGAATGCTTAGACTATCTCTTTTTTTGAAATTCTTCGTTTGCAAATACATGTATTTTGATGGTGCTATAGTATATTGGTGCCAATCAAACAATCCTTATGACCATGTATAACTGCTCAGCAACTCTGAGAAAAATATTGGAGCATTAGAGAATTTCTAAAATGACTTATTAGCGAACGAAGTTACCTATTCTTAAACCCGCAGGATGATATCTAGTATCATCCAACATGGCGGACAAAATTTCAAAAAAATGTTTAATGACAAAAATTCATCAAATTCACTTCAAACATGTACAAATCAAATTTATAAATTTGTACAACACTAAAATTGTTTGATTTGGCAAAAGATATATTTATTCCTTTGACTTTTCAGACACGTAATTAAGTATGGAAGTATGGTTATAAACTTTTGCAAAAAAAGACAAGAAAATCGTATCTAAATTAACTTTGAATTAGTTTTGCATTACATGCAGTAGCTAAAGAGTGGTTTTTGAGTTCAGAACAAGAAAGTTTGCAAAACTTTTAGCCTTGAAAGTCTACCACGTGCAACAACCAAACAAGATGCCAGAATTTAATAAATGCTTATTCAAGCAGCGAAATATTCTAGAAAACCTCAAATAAATTCATGCAGGGGAAGAGCTAAATCTTATCGCAAGGTTTATCTAATCTAGCATAATTTTTTTTAGGCATTTCTTACCGTGTAATCGTCGAAGTTTCAGTTCACACCTCGAAGCTTCACTCCAACCGCCGTCTTGTTTCTTTTTACCAGAGACCCTGAAGCACGATGCAATTTTTTTTAGAAAGCCTCAAATTAATTTATACAGGAGAAGACCTCAATCTTATCTTAAGGACTGTCTAGTCTAGCCCAGCTTTGAAGCATTTCTTACCGTGTAATGGTCGAAGTTTCTGTCCACACCTCCAAGCTTCATTCGACGCGCCATCTTGTTTCTTCTTGTCAAGGAGACCCTGAAGCATGATGCAAATACTTATTTAACGGCGAAACTTTTTTAAAAAGCCTCAAATGAATTTATACAGGTGAAGAACTCAATCTTATCTTAAGGTTTATCTAGTCTAGTCTATTTTTGAAGCATTTCTTACCGTGTAACGGTCGAAGTTTTTTCCACGTCTCGAATCTTCATTCCAACCACCATCTTGTTTCTTCTTGTCAGAGACCCTGAAGCATGATGGGTACACGTGCTTCACTACCACAGGAAGCCCATAGTATGTTTTAGTTTGAAGATGATGGTGATGCTTAGATTATGCTAAATTACCTGTATAGACAAGTACGAATTCTTTAGGACTATTTATTGGGCCGTTCTACTAGTTTATAGTTTAAAGTGAATTATAAATAACTATAAGATAATTGCATTAACTTTGAGGGGCCATACTGCAATTCACATTTCGCCCCCTAGCATAATGATGTCCCACCGATATCTTCGTACATCATGTCTAAAAGTGTTCCACAAACATTGGGGCAAACATTCATGTTGTCAGACCAAGTATGTTGTGCATGTGCAACGTCAAGATTTTTTCAGGGTTCCTCCTCCCAGTCTAGTATAAGAAGCTTATCCCCACAATTTTAGAAGAGACATTAATATGGTCAATGAAGCTCACATGCAGAGATCAATCTATCTTATCCGTCGCATCCATCGATATCTGTTTTATCCATTTCAAGCATCCGATCCATCCATCTAATCTGATCCAATTATCTCTCACAACACCCATCCACTACCATCTCATCCATCCATAAATTTTTTTTCATCTATCCCATCTCATCCATCTATCCCATCTCATTCATCTATCCCATCTCATCCATCTATCCTATCTCATTCATCTATACCATCTCATTCATCTATCCCATCTCATTCATCTATCCCATCTCATCCATCTATCACATCTCATCCATCTATCCCATCTCATCNCCATCTCATTCATCTATCCCATCTCATTCATCTATCCCATCTCATCCATCTATCACATCTCATCCATCTATCCCATCTCATCCACCTATCACATCTCATCCATCTATACCATCTCATCCATCTATCCCATCTCATTCATCTATCCCATCTCATCCATCTATCCCATCTCATCCATCTATCCCATCTCATTCATCTATCCCATCTCATCCATCTATCACATCTCATCCATCTATACCATCTCATCCATCTATACCATCTCATTCATCTATCCCATCTCATCCATCTATCCCATCTCATTCATCTATCCCATCTTATTCATCCCATCTCATTCATCTCATCCATCTATCCCATCTCAATCAAAGTTTACAGACCACTCTAGCTATTTTTGTTACATAATCATTGACTATGTACGGCTGTTGACTCGAAAGTTTACAGTCAATTCAAAAAACGTTGTCGTCGACCGGCTCAAGCCTACGCGACTAGACCGAAAGGAATATGGGTAAAATTCACTAAAGCGGTTAAATATTCGTTCTGAATTAATTGTTTCTGCTAGTAATAGGATAATGGCGAGAAACAATCCATCAAATGCATGTCTTATTTAGGGAAAGAAAAACAAAGTAGTTATGATTCAGTTCACAATTTCGAAAATGTGTAGGCATTAAAAAAACGTCTCCTTCAACACTTCCCGCTCACCTACAAAGGTTTGTGCTGTAAACCAGGCATAACTAGTCAGATAAAATTATGGAGTCAACTCGGCTTCAATGATCACTACCCAGTGTTCCTTTCGGTCCAGTCGCGTAGCCTTGAGCCGGTCGACGACAACGTTTTTTGAATTGACTGTATACTACTTCAACAGCCACACATACATATAATATTTTTGAAGACTTATTTATCAAGTATATGAAAAAAAACATGTAATTTAATTTTGTGAATTATAATTGTATTTATTGTGTGTGAATAAACTTGAGACTTGTACTTATTTGCGATGTTTATGAATAATACATTTTGTTTTCAAAAAGTTAGTCGAGTAGAGGCTTTGCACCATCGCATGATGGCAGCCATGACAGGAGGCAGAAACATCTTTATCTGGTCTAATCTATTTTACATGAGAAAAAATCAGCTTCCCTGGGAGAAAATGCTACATTGTTGTGCCTCCTGGCATGGCTGCCATCACGTGATGGTGCAAAGTCTCTATAGACCACGTTTGATATCTTAAAATTCAGGCTTGATTGCGAGTCTTTAGTCTTATGATATTTCATGTATGTACAAACACATGGAACACCAAATAAATTACTAGTTTATTGGATAGAATAGAAGAGTATGTTTCAGTAGTAAAATAACCTTTTGATAGCATATAAATATAATTATTTCAATAAATTTAGTCGCCTGAAAAGCTATAATAGGAAGAACGACAAGCGTTATGGGTAAGTACATTTTGACATTTCATCCGCTTGATAACTGTTGATGGACTTGCACGTTTTACCAGTTACAGTCTCACTTCTTCTGAGCATCATCGAGCTGCAGTTTGTATTAAAAAAGCTTTGTGTATATATGCTTTTTTGATATGAAAAGTTTCCCATGATGCTCAATAATCTCAGCTTTCTAGGTTATTGGTGACTAACTTTATTGAAATAGGTGTACATCTTTTTGTTAGAAAAAGAATAAATCGCAGTCTTATCCCATTGAAAAAGTACATTTTCTAACCGATTTTCTTCTTCTTTTTCCTATCTTTACCTTAAATACTAAAGATGAAATTTTAATTGCTAAAAGTGTACTTGTGTGTCTTTTTTATTAAATTAAGAATACTCACGTAATAGGTGCGCTATACAAATCATTAAAATTATTATTGTTATTAAAGTCACTCGTGAGCTGAACATCGCAGGAAATCTCATCCAAATCAAACAATGCATGACTGCTAATGAAGACATCAAAGTGGAGAAACTGACCAATCAGGGGCCTGTCCAGGAGACCCTGCAGCCCGGTAGTACAAACCCTGCACCAAATCCCTCAGGGAGATTCTACCCTGGCAAGGTAAATGATTGGTAGAATATACTAAGTGGCCAGTCATTATTTATCGTCGGGAAGGAGGGTGGAGGTCAGAAGAGGAAGGGGGGAACAGCTATACATTGATAAAGGTATAGCACCAGTAAGGGGCGATCATAACTGAAAGAAAGTAGTAGATGTACGGTTCCCTTGTATAGCAAGTACCACATGTATATGGTTCCCTGCAAGAACCGCACGAGACATATAAGCATGTATATTTTAAAGTATTATCACGAGGAAAAAAGACGAAGAAAACAAAGATCTTTGATCTGCATTAACCTCTAGTCTTTTTCGTGTTTGCGGCGGATGGTTTGAAGATTAATAGGCCCTACTTTGCACACTGGCGTATTGTGCGAGATAGCCTTGGGCCTCGTCATTCTTCTTGATTTCTGTTCCATTTCATTTTTTTTCTGAAACGCCTTAGCCCTTTCGCTTTTATAAAATTCAATTTTTTCTTTCTCGGAATAAAGGGAGATTTCCAGTTTTGCTCTTTCCCATTTTATTTTTTTGTCCAAAAACGTGATGTAAGAGCATTGGCATCTCTTTCTCAATTTCTTGACCCTTAATTCTTCCCATAAGTCTGCAATTTGTTCTTCTCCAACTTCTTTGTATTGATCTAGGTTTATAAATATTGCCACTGGCCAGCTGCTACGTTCAATGTGTTGAGAGATACTATCATATGTAAAAAAGAAAAAAAAAATGTCAGAAACGAAGTTGAGGTTATTATTCCCGATATTCACTGAGCCGAATAATTGTTTTAGTATAAATACATAGGTGATTCTTTCAAAAAAAGGAAAAAAAGAAGATAAAAAACACAATTTTTTCCGGTAACAGCAACAAAGCGGCTGGCCGCCATTTTGGATTATCGCTGGAGGTGATTATTGTGTGATAATCTGAGTTTCTCGACCAATCAGCTCGTGAGATTTTGAATAATCACCTGTGTATTTATACTAAATATAAGTATCCCCCCTCCCCCTGCATCTACCCTGGGGCCCAGAGGTTATTGCATTCTCGCTCCGGCATTTACTGTGCTGTGTTGACGAGTAGTCGCAAAGAGAAATAACCTCTGGGCGCAAGCGTTAATCCTTTGAATCCGCCGAACCAATCAGAGACCTATATTGTGTTTCCGAGTCAAAATCTGACCCTAGCCTTCTGATTGGCTAACGTGTGATAGAGCGTTTTGATTGGCTAATAAGATCAAACCGGTTTTTC